TTTAATTACAGGAAAGCTTTATATACTCCTATATATATCGAGGGATGCTATGTATACCATTTTTCTGAAAAATCTTTTGATTTTCATTGTTTACGCCCGCTTGGCTTCGCCTTCAAGTTGAAATAATTGCAACAAGTGGTGTGCAATTACACGGGTATTTAGTACAAGGTCAGTTTATGACTCTTTTCTTTTTGTGTTCACTTCCTTTGCAATTGTAGACTAGCTACTATTTTCAAGTTTGCGTCGATTTGTAGTGACTTTGTACATGGCTAGTATCAGGCTCAGTATCATTATGGTACTTTCAAAATATATCTAGAAATAACGTTCTTTAATGTCGCTGAAATAATTTCTTCGACGGTTACTAACAAGTGAATGACGTCATTGCAACTTTGTTTAAGTGTTTCTAGAGGTACTTGACATTTGGAGTAATAACTCAACACGAAAGATTGCTAGTCACGGAATAGTGGAACGTTAACAAAATCAGTAAATTCTGCAAGAATCTTTAGCATGAAGTCGATGAATCAGATCTACCTTAATTGCTAATGCTATAATACCGTATATAATTATCAGCATTAGGCCATTTCGTGGAAACTGTGGAACCTGTTACAATAAATGCTTGGGTGGATTCTGCCAACCATGCGGTTGTTGAAATAATTCATCGAAATTATCTTTACGCCGTTTTTCTGATAAGTGGGTCTGATAAGTATAATTGGACGCTCTAGCAAATGGTCAAGGAGTGAAAAATGCTTTCTTTTTAGACTCAATTAATGTCGGATCTCCTTTATTTGCTGACTTAACACATTAGCTAAAGAGTTGTTTATTGGTTTCGAGTTACACAGATGAAAATCGGATGAACAAATGACTTTTATATCAGAAGAATTTTGCATTGGAATGGCCCCTACAATCATTATGATGGTTTATATATTCCCGGAATATATTAAATGAAATCATCAGTATTTTAGTCCGTTGGGTTCTAAACATGATAAAAGTAAAAGCCGATAATAGCTGGTTTTTCACATGACGTCACTAAACTTCAAACTACAAAACTATTGATCTTCCTGAGATTTTACTTTAATGATGTATAAGAGCAGCTGGAAACTAATATTCATACAAATTTTCGC